CAGGTGGGGGAGGGGGGGAGGTGACGGCGAGAGGAGGGCGGAGCCATGGTGTTGCCGTGCACCGGCATGCTTGTCCCAGAAGTCCTCTGATCAGTGGGGGAGGGATGGTCAACAAAAACGAGAAGCTCCCGACAACAGCATCGCTCACGGGTGAGAGAGGGGGGAGTGATGGTGGGGGGAGGGGAGGAGGCCCATCCTTCCACCCCCCACCTCCACCCACTCTTCCTCCGCGTCCACCTTCTCTTCTCCCCCACTACACCAGCTGGTAGCCCGACCCAGTCGTCTGGTCGTATTCTATTGTGTACTGCGTGGTCCAATCTACGGTCACGGGCCGGATCAGGCCGCAGCAGCGGATCTCAAAGAAATCTATGAGGTTTCTGATACAGCCGTGACTGGAGAAGGAAGGAGAAGCAAGTTATTGACTAAGTTAGCTGGTTAAACCTAAACATCTGGACATATATATTTATATATATTTATGAGGTTTATGGAGACGTGTTTTTTGCGCCTGACGACGTCACTCACTTGAACGGACTTTCGATGGAGGTGGCGGTGACTTTGAAGTGTTTGTATCTGCGGGCGTTCATCCTCTCGTTGGTGGTGATTCCCAGAACAGCGATCTGAGAAAAGAGGTTGGACTGAGTTTAAGTGTGGCGTGACGTGGGGTCATGTGACCACGTTCTCAGACAGGAACCCAGACCTGGTAGAGCTGACACATGATGAGCACGGCCACCCACATGAAGTGGAAGACGCTGTTGAGGAACATCCAGAATATCCACGGGGAGCAGGTGGCGATCTGGGTCAGGTACAGCCAGAACCCGTCCTTGGCGTAGGTGGTGGCACAGTTGACCCTCCAGTCTGAGGGATTTAGTCAGAGGGCAGAGGTCAGAGGTCAGAGGGCGGGATCAAAGGGTGAAGTCAGAAGGACGGAGGTGAAAGATTTGCACTCACAGCAGATGCAGCCGTACATCATCCAGCAGATCATGCAGAGCAGGAAGAACAGGTAACCCATGAAGTAACGGTGATTTCCACTTCCTGTCGACACAAAGAAGAAAAACAAAGGTCACGTTCTCGTCACGTCGTCTCAGTTTCTAACGTCAGCTGGACGTTTTCACCCACTCACAACTGTCAAAATAAAAGGAAAATATAAACTGAATGATTTAAGTCAGTGGTCCTCAACCTGAGGGTCCCTGACTGGTACCTGGGCCACAGAGTAGAAAGACTGGACCGTCAGTCAGTCAGTCAGTCAGTCAGTCGGTCAGTCAGTCAGTCAGTCAGTCAGTCGGTCAGTCAGTCAGTCAGTCAGTCAGTCGGTCAGTCAGTCAGTCAGTGAGTCAGTCAGACAGACAGACAGTCAGTCAGACAGTCAGTCAGTCAGTCAGTGAGTCAGTCAGACAGACAGACAGTCAGTCAGTCAGTCAGTCAGACAGTCAGTGAGTGAGTCAGTCAGTGAGCCAGTCAGTCAGTCAGTCAGTCAGTCAGTCGGTCAGTCAGTCAGTCAGTCAGTCAGACAGTCAGTGAGTGAGTCAGTCAGTGAGTCAGTCAGTCAGTCAGTCAGACAGACAGACAGTCAGTCAGTCAGTCAGTCAGTGAGTCAGTCAGTCAGTCAGTCAGTAAGGCAGTGAGTCAGTCAGTCAGTCAGTCAGTCAGTGAGTCAGTCAGTCAGTCAGTCAGACAGACAGACAGTCAGTCAGTCAGTCAGTCAGACAGTCAGTGAGTGAGTCAGTCAGTGAGTCAGTCAGTCAGTCAGTCAGTCAGTCGGTCAGTCAGTCAGTCAGTGAGTCAGTCAGTCATTGAGTCAGTCAGTCAGTCAGTCAGTCAGACAGGCAGTCAGTCAGTCAGTCAGTCAGTCAGCTCAGACTAAGTTGGTGAGTTATTCAACACTGAGATAACTGAGCTGTGGAGACCACGCGGACCAGACAGGAAGTCACGACCCCATCACAGACCACAGAGGTGAAAAGACTTCCTGTTGTCACCAAACTTCCTTTGTTCAGTTTCCTCATTGTTAAACCTCATCCTGAACACTGGCCTTCAGAGAGGAAGTGATGTCATCAGAAGGCACTTCCTCAACCTCCAAATACGGACAGAGACACAGAGGCCCACATGGGCCACACCTACGAGAAACAGCCTCGTACATGTGTGTAAATATACACACACATACATCTATACCCATGAGCAGCTGGGCTACACGTGTGTGTGTGTGTGGGGGGGGGGTGTAGGTGGGGGTCAGTTGTTGACACGTACCGACACAGTTGCCCACCCAGGGACAGTGGTGGTCAAACTTGGCGATGCAGCGGTTGCAGACGGCGCAGTGTTTGGACCTGATGGGCTTCCGTATCTAAAACAAGGAAATGAATGAAGAGGTTTTGGTTTTTAAAAATAAAAAATAAATAAATAAAAGTTCTCCTGCTCCTCCTCCAGAGGGCGTGGTCCACAGCTGTCAGACTTTACCAAGCAGGTGCTGCAGAAGATGCTGAGGTCCAGACTCCCCGTCTCTGCCAGCTCCACGATGGTCTGGAGCAGAAGAAGAAGAAGAAGAACAGGGTTCTAAAGACCCGTGACCTGTGACCCGTGACCTGTGACCTCAGGACGTGGTTCAGCGGAAACACGATTCTCACCTTTTTCTTCTGCTCCTCTGAGGCTTTGATGATTCCCGGGTCAGATTTCCAGGATTTTCCAAAGTTGTAGAACAGAGCCAGGGTGTTTATCAGGAAGGGCACGTGGACCGTGGCGAAGGGCAGATGTTCACTGGAGGTCAAGGAAGGTCACTGACATCAACACTGGCATCATGTGGTATTTACAGCCCGGAGGACGCAGGTGTCCTCGACCTCCCTGACCTCTGGGCTCCTTGAGTGTCCAACGGTACATTTGAAACACAGAAAAGGATATCATTCCAGAACCAGTAGAACCACGTGGTGTACATCCAGAACTTGGTTGCCAGGTAGATTCCCAGAGGCAGAGCACTGTGCATGGAGTGGTCAAAGAAAGCCCTGCACACAGGAGAGAGAGAGAGAGAGAGAGAGAGAGAGAGAGGGGAGAGAGAGGAGGAGGAGCGTGACTGGAGCGTTCTGAGGGAAACCTGACTTTTTACATTCACTCTTGGACGACCAATGGGAGACAAGTAAAGTCTTGGTGTGTGCGTCCACAGTTGGACCAGAGCCGTCGGTCACACCTACTTGGAGAGGAACTGCACGGCCACCCACACCCCCGTGTACATGAGGCCTTTGATCAGCCACGAGTCCACGTCCAGGTCAGCGATGAACCCGACCAACCAGATGATGACGAAGGGCGTCCCCAGCATCACCTTCTGTCTGAACTCCTGCCCGGGGACAAGGACACGCCGGTTAATGGATACTGAGACACAGACCAGTACTCAGTAACGGAGTACTGCAGTAGTTCTGTTACCATGGTACAGTCTCAAAGACTGTTCAGACTGATACACAGTTAAACAGTGTTTCACTGGTTTCTCCGACTCTACGCAGACGACTGTCAACTGTCCTCAAACTAAACACATCAGCACATCTACTTCCTGTATATTTGTCCTTCATCACATGGTCGACCACAGTCATCAGACACTGACAGTTAGATTACAGCTGTTAGGATCGGTTCTTAGTGACTCACACACACACACACACACACACACACACACATACTGGAGCCCTGGAGCAGACAACAGAACACACAGGTCTCAACACGTCCACTTCATTCCAGACGACAGAAGAAGAAGAAGAAGAAGAAGAAGAAGAACTACAGAGTACTGTTTACAGGAACAGGAACTGGAACTTTATGTTTTAGACAGACTTGTATGAAAGTCACTGATGGTGTTTTACTGTGTACTCCACTGTGTACTCCACTGTGTACTCCAGTGTGTGTACTCCAGTGTGTGTGTACCTTGTCCATCTTCAGCCTCTTCAGGTAGGACGGGCTGTCGTAACCTTTGGCCTGTCGCGCCTCCTGCAGGTGGTTGATCATCCAGACGTTCTTCCTCTGCTTGGCAAGATCCAGCGGCGTTTCGCCCTGAAGAACGACACCAGACACACACACACACACTCCTTATATGGTCATCACCAACCGGGACATGTGAATGGACTGGTGGCATGACTGGTGTACTGCAGCCGTTCGTCTGTTAATGGTGTTACGAGTTACTGGGAAAGTCTTTACGCCTCATGTGATCCTGATACTTGACGGCGATGTTTACCTTGATGTTCTGCGCGTCCACGTTAGCATTAGCGTCCAACAGGAGGCTGATGACGGTCGTGTTCCCGGCCAGGACCGCCCAGTGCAGAGCCGTGTTTTTGTGGTACTTGTCACCGAGGTTGACAGAAACGTTGAACGTTAGTAACAGTCGGGTCGGGTCCACACTGTGGGACAGAGATGTAGAACTCGGGTCGAAGGGACATCAGGTATTCTCTGTCTGTGTGTGTGTGTGTGTGTGTGTGTTTACAGTATATTTATTTTTATTTTGTTCTTTTCCTTGTGTTTACAGTATATTTATTTTTATTTTATTTTGTTCTTTTTCTCTCTCTCTTTTTTCTAAATGTTGCCCAGACTCATGATCTCATCAGAGTTCTCTGACTGTTCTTTAACAGTTTGTCTAATGAACGACTTCATGTTTGCAGCCAGCAGAGACGTGTCTCCACTGGTGCACAGGCCCGAGCGTCCAAACCTGTGTGTCCTGTAGGCGGCCCACATCAGAGGAGTCATGCCGTTCTGATCCATCATGTCCACATCCTGTCACACAGGAAACGCACACTGTTATCACGTTAGGCTGAGCACACAATGACAGGTGACAGGGCTCCCCCTTGTGGACACCAATGAGACTGACATCAAAACCAGTGCTGATGCCGACTGACACCACAGCAGGTCGACCCTGAACTGGTCTTTAAAGGTCAAAGTCTGTCTGCTGACAGGTCCTCACCTGTCCTTTGGCAATAAGGTAGGCCACGATGGAGGTGTGGCCAAACTGGGCCGCCAGGTGGATGCAGCTGCAGCCCTCGCCATCAATCAAAGACGGGTCAGCACCAAACTTCATGAGCTGTACCACCATGGACAAATGTCCTTGTCTGGGAACAGAAATAATAAAAACACAGATCAGAACTTCTGACACGTGAATGTGGACCAACATGTTCTACTAAAAACAACAGACATGAAAATACAAGTTTAATTTATGAATAAAACCTGCACCAGCTGATGTTGAATAAATCGTCAAAAATCTCTTTTTTTTTTTTTTCAAATCAACTTGAAGACCAGTTGGTTCAGAACGATGGGTGGGTGAGGAGGGGTGAGGAGGGGTGAGGAGGGGTGAGGTGACACAGGACACTGATGAGACAGATGCCTGTTGAAGCTATCAATAATTCACTAGAGGAGTGCATCCTGCCCCCTACTGTCTGCAGGTGGGAGCTGTCTTTGTTCTCAGGGGACATGGATTGAAAATGGACCTGATCTGGTTCTGGTACTTGTTTGTTTTCGTGACAGAAGAACGGCAGCAAAGGTCAGGCTGCAGTGACAGCTGCTCTGAGGGCGACGGGACGGACAGGATCAGATCAGAGGAGGCAGATGATTGGCTGTGGGGACCCTGAGGAGGAGGAGCTCTGGTTGCTGTGTTACCTGGTGGCCCAGTGCAGCGGTGTGGAGTTCAGGTCTCCTCCCAGCTGGTCCACTATGGCTCCCTTAGATATGTAGTACCTGCAAATACAGGTCCAACTTTAGATCACAGACACACAAGCACCAGACCGCGGTCTGTCATTATGAAGTACATACGGTCTGTAACGTGTACAGCTGTGAGGAGGATTACTACACTGCAGTCAGGACAGAGGTTCGATTTCTGAAGCCATTACAGCCGTATCATTTACACCAGTGTTCACTGTCGACTTTTATTGATTCTTTTTAGGGTCAGGTCACAATGTTTCCTTTAGGCCGGCAGGAAAGGTCAGAGGTCAGAGGTCAACGTCCAGTCCTTGGACCATATGTTGTTCCAGTGTGAAGACACGACACTTCTCTGTACAAATCACCACCACAGTCCATAAGAGACCACCACGGTCCATAAGAGACCACCACAGTCCATAAGAGACCACCACGGTCCATAAGAGACCACCACAGTCCATAAGAGACCACCACGGTCCATAAGAGACCACCACAGTCCATAAGAGACCACCACGGTCCATAAGAGACCACCACAGTCCATAAGAGACCACTACAGTCCATAAGAGACCACTACAGTCCATAAGAGACCACTACAGTCCATAAGAGACCACCACGGTCCATAAGAGACCACCACAGTCCATAAGAGACCACTACAGTCCATAAGAGACCACCACGGTCCATAAGAGACCAC